TTTATTTTTTTATTTTAGTTGGACTAGACTTAATATTTTCACATACATAATCCACTTTATCCGAATGTCCGGCCATAAATTTTTGGTTTCTTTAGTGACCCAAACTACCTTGGTATTCTTTGATCATTGGGCCTAATCTAAAGCCCACTACCTACTTTAGGTGAAGCTCAATATATGAGCCCAATTAATTTCGTTTCGAACAAAACCGAATAGATTGGTATTTGATCAAGTGCAGTGGACGACGGCGACGATGGTGAAAGCGGTGGTCGGAGAAGAAATCCAGCTCAAATCCGTTGAAGACCGCCTCAGCCATTCCCGTCTCTCCTGCCAGGTGATCCTATCTTCTTATCAGGCATTGTCTATGTCTTGACTGACGCACACATATACACGTAATTTGTTAACAATTTTGTTGATTTTGACAGGTAGGGCTGGTGATTGGGAAGATAAGTACAAGTTTGGATAGAGGTTTTGTGTTCGATTTAGTTCCCACGCCATTAAACGATGCCGGAGAAGCAGCTTCTTGGATCATCGAGAGCAAAGATGATAATAACAACAAGAAGAAAGGAGGATCAAAATCCAAAACGCAATCGGATTCTTCTTCGTCTTTGTCCATTGATAAGGATTGGGTCGCTGAACATGCTCGTCAGGTTTGGTTCGATATCCTCAACTTAATACTTAGCTTTGAATTTGATCGGTTTCTTATTTTGGGCAGCTACAAGTATATAGTGATTGAAAACACAATGTTATGAATCACAGTGTTAGAACAATATGAGAAAGTTCACATGCATTTTGAAGAATGAAATGTAGATATACTAGATTGAATCAATTGTGAAACTAACAATTCAACTCAAGCATCTAACTACTAATATAAAGCAGCTAAAGATCCATGATTTACTTGGATTTTGCGAATTGGATGTATGCTTGAATTTTGCATTATACATGTTTTCATTTCTGTTATGAAATTGAGTGGTCTAAATCTGTTTATTGTACTAGAGCTTTTATGTTTGAGTTGCCTTTGGAATTGTGAACAGGTTTCAAGAATGTTAGTTGGTGGCATGAAGGTAGTTGGCATCTACATATGGATGAATGAAAGTTTGTTCAAGAATTCGACTTTAGTGCTCTGCCAGGTTTAATTTCATTCTATTAAAAACTAAACTTTGTGTCTACTCATGTTCTTTCCTTCAAGTCACAGTTCTTAGTATCTTTTTGACTTGATGAAGAAAGAACGACTTAACAGAGAAAGTCAGAGAAATGAGGATCTTTCCCATTAAGTTCTAACTGTTTACAAACTTTCCCTTAACTTGTAACATCTTTTTCTAAAATGTTTTTTACATGTCATTTATCGAGACAGTACTTGGTGGGATCATAGAAACAGGGCCTGTATGTATATGTTTGGTATGTATATATTGATGTAATTTCTATTGCAGACTGTTAAAGGAGTTGCAGATGCAGCACCGATAAGAGATATTGGTTGGGATGAGAGACTGCTTATTCACATAAGCTATAGTCCAAGCAGGTAACTGAAAATTTTAAAAACAGTTTGGGAAAAAAGATATGTTTTCTCCTTGAGATGAGTCCTCGTTATATCTAATTAGCAGCCTATAGTTGCAGATTCTTAAGGGTCGTTTCTTTTTTTTCCCATTAAGTCTTGTATGGATAAAGTAATTAAAGTGTTGTATACATGAGGTCTGTTTCTTTTCCAGACTGAATAAACCGTCTGAATGAGATTAATGACCACTTTACCTTTACATTCCAACAAACAATATTGATCAGTTTTAATGTGAGAGTAGTTGGGACTAGGGAAAAAGAAGGGCAAATAAGTAAAAGGGTTGTTGTCTGAATACATTAAGTCAGGGTTTTTTTTGGCTTAACCAATTAAGTTATTCTGTCCAGATCAAGTTAAATAGAAATGTTCAGATTAAGTGTTTAACTCATTAAGTCAAAAAGAAACAGCCTTGCCTATAAAAAAAATCTTACATATCCTAATATATGAAAGCTAAATATTTAAAAGTAATGATAATGGAAACATAGCATTTCTTGCTGATTTGATTTTATTCATATTATCTGGTGGAGAATGATTTGCAAATTGCAATTTTAAATCTGATAAACTAATAGTAACTTCATACATTCTTTTTTACACAATTATGAATGTATATAAACGAAGTTGTTGTATTGAGATTGTAGCATTCTAATGTTGGTTAGGTGGACATGTCGAAATTGCTCTTTGTCTTCAAATATAACCTCAAGCAGCCTACGCCCATGCGACTTCAAAATGGGAAGAGTTTTTTCCACTCTTCAGAAGTTTAGATGCATTTACAACTTTGATATAAGGTATGAATTTACAACTATTGTTTCATACAAAAAAATCAGTTTTGTGGCCTTGACTTCTTATCTGCCTCTCAAATCTGATTATATGGCCTTAAAAATTCGGTAAATCAGCATCAATATCAAATCTTTCAAACATTGCAAAACTGAGTAACTAGGTTTGGAGCACTTGCTTAGGGTCTGTTTCGTTGGATGGGGTCATTCATTCATTATACTCCAGGATCACGTTTGGTTGGCATGTAGGAATGAAATTAATTTCCATATGAACATTTTATATTATATGTAAATACATGTGTAGTATTAACTCTATTCTATATATTATCTAATTATAATTATAAAATTTTCTTCTCTTTAGTCTTATATTTGTGTGTTTTATTTTAATAATCCATGAATAACAAGAAGTTGTCTTTTCCCAGGTTTCCAATATTTCATGAGAGCATTTCAAATCCCAAAAAATTTGCTGGAATTCTTCGTGATGTAATATCAAGTCATGCTGAAGAACTGAAGGGGGCAAAGGCTTTGATTAATGGGAATTTGGTATGCATCTATCTGTTACTTACCATTCAAACTCAGCACCTCTGTTTTTGCCTATTAACACCTTACTATAGTTTGTTTGATCATTGATAGAATTCGGATGATTTTTTTGCATTCGCTACCATTTATATAATTTTTAAGGGTAAAATTGTCTTGTAGAAATAAATGAAAATATATTGCTTTATTTCTATTTCATGCATTTAGCCCAATAAAATATGGATGTCATGTGACCATAATTTTTTCTATATGTGAAGGTGAATGTGGATGAGCAATGTTCATTTGATGGTGTCCATGAAGTTGAATTTCTTATACCTTTCATGCAGCATACATCTTTTCAAGGTATCTATCTGACCTTCCCTAAGGCCTAATCACATTGTTGTGAAATTATTGTTAAAATATATGTCACTCTTGTTTTCTTAAGCATACAGTGAAGAGGAGGTTGTGGGTATTTTGGTCTTTACTGGTTCAGTCTGTTCTTATGCATACTCTAATTCCAAAGAATCCATTTCACAAGCTTTGGCTGATATAAAGGTATGAGAAAATCAAAATATCAATCTACTTACTTTTTACTTATTTTGGTTTTATTAAGGGTGTTGTTTGTTGTTTAGGGGGATATCGTTTCAAGCCTACATAGTAGATTAGATATCATCTGTGATGAGGCTGATGGACAATTGGATTCCGATTCTGTTGCAGATGTTGGTGGGGAGGTTTCAACTCAGACACCTATTCCGCACTTTCAATTGCAGTCATTAAGGTAAGCTAGTATAAATAAGTATGTTATGGTTTTATAAAAAGACCAAAATACCCTCGTTATATAGGCTCCCTAAGTGTGGTGTTGTTTTCTTAAATTGTTTTTTTAAACCTGATTTATCAGGAGATGACATAATGTTGGTTGATTAATATTGTTTTGTTTTGTTTAACTAAAACAGGAAAGGATGCAGTCTTTGTTTCCCTCGAAGAGTTTTTATCCCTTGGCTGGGTGACACGTATATATGTGACTACCTACAGCCTTCTGAAACACTTGAGGTTTTTCCTTTTTTTACGAATAAGCCCCCTTCCCTTTTCTTTTTTTTTTTAGTTCAAACAAAACAGGTACTAACTAAATAGTGGAATATTCTGTTTATTAGGTTGTGAAAGACCATTGTGTTGAATTGATGTCTATGGAAGCTCTAACCAACACATCCATGGTTTTGGAGCCAGAAGCAGAATCAGCAACTTCCATGAGATTCTCCACCAATTCCAATTCCTTCTGGGAAACAGCAATGCCAGTGTCCCCAGAATTGAGACCATTATCCTTGAACAACAGTGGTGACGAAGGCCCAGTTTCTGGGAAACAGTTAGAAAAATCCAGTAGTAATGTTAGCATCATAGCTGCACTGTTGGTTCTTTTTATCTCTGTTTTAGTAGGTCTTTTCCTTTTTGCTTTCAGGACATGACAGGGTTCAGGGTCAAATGTTTTTTCTTCTTCTTTTCTTGGTGTGAATTAGAGTTATTCTATTGTGTCATAATCTGAAATATTGTGTTGGTAGAGTCCAAGTATTAACAAAAATGCAGCGGATTATATTTATATGTAGACTATGTGCTATTTTAATGATCGGAAATCAAGCTTAGCTTTTTTGTTTGTTGAGAAGGGTATGTTTCTAGTTGCTCTGATTTTTTGGTAGAATGGAATCAGGGAGGGAATGGAATGGAATGAAAAAAAAAAAACATGTTGGTTTTGCTAATGCTAGATGGAATTAAATGGACCATTTATTGCGATTTCTTTCAATTTTGTTCATTCCTTAGTCATGGGGCGTATTTTTCCTTCCATCATGGGATCGAATGAAGAATTGTATATAACCCATCTTGTTTATGTAACCAATCATTATCATGGAATGTAATTACCCATTCCATTACCAGATTACCTTGCTCATACCATTCTCTTCCATCCAAAGTGTTTGTGTTGTAAGTTGTAACAAAAAAAATAGCATTTCAAAAGGCTTGAGCTATAATGTGTTTATTGAAGCATGTCATGTTCTATACACACACACACACACACACTAGTAGATTCCAGTGATTGAAATTTTGATAATGGACTTATCTTATATGTGAAGATATCACGATCTTACCAAACTAAATGGAAGTCAGAGTCTTGTCTAGAATCAAGTAGTTAGTTGTCTTTTAAGAACCTCATTCTCCTTCCTTAGTTTCATTACCTTCTGCTTCAGAGTTTCAACGTGCCTATTTGAACTCATTTCCTGTTTGTTTTCAGCTTCACCCAACTTTGTTCTGCTAATCAGTACTGCAACACACACACACACATTAACCAATGAAGAATATTAGTATTATCAGATTCAAAAGATCATCACAGCTGCAGATGTCATTATCGTATATGATCAAATGTGTGAAATAGCAACCTACGTTGATTGAAAGTACAATATTGTAACCTACGTTGCTATTCTTTTTGCACTTAGCCCTTATCGTATATGAAATATGAACATACATTCTTTTTCTAGACTCTGGAGCTTCCTGCTCAACCCGTTTTTCTCTTCCTGCTCCATCATAAGACAATCCTTCAAATCTTGTATCTCATATTGATCTAGGAACAGCAGAAACATCACACTTTTTAGTTTTTACGCGTTGTTTCTTTTTGACTTAATAAACTTAATGGGGGGCATGACTTGATCTGGTAAGCTATATATCAGTGTTTCTTTTACTAAATACATAAGGAATGACTTAATATAAAAGGAGAATTTTCTGTTAAGTCGACTTTTACAAATTTGCACTTAACTTGCATTTTTGCAAGTGTGTTGTTATTTTCTTAGATATTTTTAAACATAATTTATCCAAACAACACTTAATGGGAAAAAAAATGTAAATGTCAAGCTCACATGTCATTTCCACATCGGAATGGACTCGATCCAATCTTTTTGATAAAGCTTCAACATGGTTTCTATGTGCACCTAAATCTTGGTGGAGTTGATTAATGGTTGATTCGTTTGCTGTTTTCTGAGCTACGAAATCTCTGGTTTACAGTAAATTTATAAACATTCAAACGAGATCTCAATTTGGTTAAGAAAATAGTCTTTATGAGTGAAAACTCACTTGATTTGAACCTCTAGCTCTTTTATTCTCTTCTCATAATCATGCTTAAGCAGACTCATTGCATTTCTTAACTCCTGCGTGCAAAACCAAAGCTTAACTTTCAAGGTCAAAGAAATCAACTTTTCACTTAGAAACTTAAAGCTAAATGCAAGAAATAGCAACATACTTTTACAAAATGTTCTAAAACTGGATACCCCATAGCTATGATTGGGTAGATTTCTCAAAGCACTATGCTTAAAAAGACCTTGGCCCTTTACTTATGTAAGGCCAATAAATAGGGGACTTGCAACAGAATTGCATGCAATAACACATTGTTACACCTAACTATATTTCAAAATAACAGATGGTTATCAAATGCTCACTTACATTCTCTTTCCTGATATGTTCATCATTCACTCTCTTCAGTTCCTCTTTCAAGCTGCGACAGTTATTCCTACATTCAAGCTGTCTCATTGAATAAAAATTGTAAGATGCAAAAGAAGTTCAGAATTACAGTGGCCATTCTCACTTAAGCCTCAAATTATACTACAAGCAGAAGTTAACTGACTCTAGTACTTAAAATTGTTCACCTGATTAGCCAGTTTGTTGATGGATTCTGTATACAGCTTCATCACTCTCTCATTTTCTAAAAGGAGTAGATATTAGTCAAATAGGTCGTTTGCAAGTTCAAATCTAGACAAGTAACTTTTCAAATAGCACAAGAAAATTGCAATATACATGAGCTATAAACAATGGAAGCTCAAAGATCGATGGTGTTTAATAACAGATGGATAGAGTAATCTCACACCTCCTTAAAATACAATTGAGAAAATTAATGGCTCTTATGCCATTAGATTTTCATTTCGTTAGTTTTGAACTCCCCTTCAAATTTGGAGTATGGCATATCCCTCACGTAAAGTAGAATCACAATTTAAGTAACTTTTGTACGCCTAACAGAGTTCATATTTAGAAATAGAAAACGAAAACAAAAAGTAACATCCACAAACTTCCATTAAATTTCGTAAATTTGATGATTCATGATTGTAATCGAATAATTACCTTCTAATGTGCGGAGAATATAGTAAATCAAATGTGATGTTGCTTTTGATCATAATACACACCTGATTTGAGAGCGTTGGAGTTGAATTCAAGCGCTTCTCGCTTTTTGATTTCGGATTTGCAGCTTGATTGAAGAGATTGAATCTTAACGATTCCCTCGCTGAAATCCTACGTAACACGATGATGAAATTTAGGTTTTGATAAGCTGTGAATCGATTTGATCCGGGAAAAAAAAAAAGAGTACAAGGTGAAGATTAAACGTAGTAAGTACATTGTGTATCTCATCGAAATCGGATAGAAGTGATTCCAATGCTTCATCAGTTGCCGCCATCTTGAAACTACCTCCTCTTCTTCGGTTCTTCTTACCGTTTGGTTGGTTTTCAATTTTCAAAGAACCAGGGAAAAAAGGAGGGTAACGCAACGTTGGGTGTTAATTAAATGTATTTTGAACTGCTATTTTGGATTCATACTACACAGAGATGAGTTTTTTAATGGGATTTTGGATTCATAATACGGACGTATGCTGCAGGTTACGATTTCTTGGAGTTTTTATTAAATTACACATAAACAGTTTATGTAATATTATGCTAATTCAAAATATAATCAATATCACTGATCAAACACTTATTTGCAAAGAAAAAATTATAAATTTACAAATATAAAGTTTTGCAAGTAAATTTATAATTTTGTTTTAAAATAAATATACATATTGTTATTAATACCGAATTACTTTTTGTAAGTTTAGATATTTGATAGAGTAAATTATATGAATCGTTACGTGTAGAGTTGTAAGTGTGAAAAATAAATGTTAGTTTTTATTTTCAAAAATTAATTTGAATCATTCCTACGATTTGTTTAAAATACTGGTATATAAAAAAAAAACTATTTTGTCTTGAACTATTTTTTTTTATTTTCTCTATGTTTATTATTTTTAGATTAATAAAAAAAAGAAAAAAAAATATGTCCACCCTCCCCTTTTCTTTCCCAAATTTAGTTTTGGTCTCCATAACTTTTCAACTACGACCAAAAAATCACCACCACAGTATATTCATATCTAGAAACTTTGTAAAAAGTAAATCACATCAAACAAATTACAATTTAGAATTGTTTCTACCACCATTTTTTAAAATTTATAATTTTAGCCCTTTTATTTAAAATAGATTTTTATTTTTTTATTCTTCTCAGTTTAAAAAAATTACTTTTACTCCTGTTTATATATATATATATATATATATATATATATATATATATATATATATATATATGTTTTTCATAAACCAATTTCTATTTTAACCTACAAATATTTTCTTTCAAGCCAATTATTTTAACTTTTTTTTTTCTAAGCCTAAACATCAATTTTTATTAAAACAAATTTATACTCACTACCTCCTTAGCCAAGTTTTAATGAAAAGAAAAAAAGAATTAAATTGGAGGTTTTAATTTAAACCATATCAACCCCACCATCTCTTCAATTTTCATCCAACATAAAGAAAAAAAATATATTTTATATGTCAAGTTGTTTTTGGCAGTCAAATCACCTCTAGAGCCCTAGACACACCCTATTCCATGCAAACCTACTATTAGCCTTCATGTGTATTTTTTTGTCCATACCCCATGCATCTACCTCAAGCTACCCCCTCCAATTTGCCTTTTCATACGAGATAATGAAGAAAGATCAGATAAATGATGATGGTGGTATTTTCTCATTTATACAGCAACAAAAGATAAAATGGGAAATGACATTACGAGTGATTGACATTTGCTCCTTTATCGTATGGGCAAGCAAAGAAGAAATAAAAAAGAAATAATGATCGATTGATATTCGGCAACAAGCAAGTGGAAGAATTGAGGAACAATACTCAAGATATCTTCTTATCTTCTAAATGATCACATCACAGAACATACTAAATAGAGATATATCATCCACGTTTTTATTTTTCTATACTGTGTGTTTTTATCTATTTTCATATATATTAAAAATACTTACTAGTAGTAAGTAGAAGTTTTTATCAAAAAAAGCTATAAACACAATGTTTTTATTATCATTTAAATAATGACGGGTTGAGAAGAGTAGTTTTAATTCAACGATCAACTGAATTATAATACAACTGTTTTTTTTAATAGGTTGTAATCTGTATTTTGTTGATGAATAATGTTTATACAAACGCATATGAAAGTTGTGAATAGTATTTTCACTTCAACGATCAAATGAACTATCAGGTACTATTATGTAAGTGTTTTTATTTTTTGTTTTATTTTATTATAAGTTGTAACTTATAGTGTGTGTTTCGTGTAGACGAATAATGTTCATACAAATGCATATGAAAGTTGTGAAGGGTATTTTCAAGTCAATGATCAAAAAAGTTATGAAATATTTTATATAAGCGTTTTTATTTTTAAAATTGTTTTTATAAGTTGTAATTACTAATGTGTGTTTTGTATAGACGAATAATGTTGATACAAACGTATATGAAGGCGACGGAAATGAAAACGAGAAAGAAAGTAGTTACTTCATGAATGACTCAAGTTTTCAAACCAATATGGTAAAAATTTAAGTTCATTAATATATATTTGTAGTAAGGATGTCATCTAGAAGATTGCTAGTTGTTGATTATTATATTATTTTTAGGTGTTCAATTCTCATAAAGACTTAATAGATTAGGTGCAACAAACAGGGTGTTCTCTTAGTTATGTTATCAACATAAAAAATTCTAAACATGATTTTAATGTTTCATTTAAATGTGATTGTGGTGGTATATACACAAATATGAAAATCCCCACAAAACACACTAACACAAAAAATTGTCCATTCTCATTAGAAGGAAAGTTTTCTCCGGTAAATGAATGTTGGACGTTAAAGATGAAATGTGAAACACATAATCATGAACCAACATTACATTTGGAAGGTCATCCGTTTGCAAGACGACTAACGGAAAATGAAGCTCAATCAGTTCAATATTTGTTACAAAAAAAACGTGAAACCATATAGATATAATATATATATATATATATATATATATATATATTAATATATTATATATATATATATATATATATATATTATCCAGGTTAAAGAAGTAAAATGTGAATAATATATCTACTCTTCAAACTATATACAACGCAGACCAAAAAATTCGGAGGATGTAGAGTGCAGGTAAGACTAAAATGCAAGACTAAAATGCAAGTTCTGATGTTATGGCTGAAAGATAATGGCCATATTTATGAGAGTTGTGCAAATACATTAAAGAGAAAGATTTGTTTTTTGCCCACCCACTTTCAGTTAAATTATGGCATGGATTTCCACACGTAGTGTTGATGGACACAACATATAAAACAAATAGGTATGATATGCCTCTACTAGAGATTGTTGGTGTAACTCCAACAAATATGACATTTGCAATAGCATTTGTTTATATGCATAAGGAAAGGGAATGCAACTATTGGGCATTAAATTGTCTAAAATCGATTATGGACAAATGTTTGGCACCACGTGTTATTGTAACAAATAGGGAAACGACTCTCATTAAAGCAGACAATATTGTGTTTTCGGAGGCTAAATGTTTACTTTGTAGATGGCATATATATACAAGT